TCTTCAGCTCTTATTAGACCTTTTTGTTTTTCTCACAAACGATCTTCGTGCCATAAAGCGGCGCAGTGAATTTTGTCAAGATGCAGCCCTTTGAAGATGAACGTAACATTTAGCCACCGCCAGTCTGTCTGACAGCTCTTGTTTGTTTCTGTAATTGAATCGACGTAATATATGCATTTCAAATATGCATGTGCAGCCTCTAAAATGTAAAAGTATATTCTTGTCTCATCTGTGCCATCTCCTCCCTTTCTCTCGTCGTGCAGGCTGCCCTACGCAGGTTACTTTGGAGGTGTTTCGGGTCTCAGTAAAAAACAGTTTCTGAAGATCAACGGCTTCCCGAATGAGTACTGGGGCTGGGGAGGAGAAGACGACGACATTTACAACAGGTATGTGTGGACGGTTGAGCTCTGCCTGCGATTTTCTCACCGTTAAAATGTGTGGTTATCCTTGATAATGGAACCTTTCTGCAAAGGAAGGCAATTTATAAAACCCAAACTAGATTAAATTATTTTTATTCATGAGTAGAGGACAGAGTCTACTGTCAGGTTTACACTCAAACTGCACCACACATTCACGTCTTTTATGTGTTGAATATGTATTATTTATGCCACTACTGGAGACGGTAGCGGCACAGTCAAGTATCGCGAATGCAAGTGACGTTGAAGCTCTTCATGGAAGAGGTGATTTATTATAATTATTCAGGAGAGGGAGTCTGATTAGCAAATAAATTAACCTTTTGAAGCACTTCAGTCAGCTTTTAATGACTAGCTGAAGTTCACTAATGACATTTCTGTGAATGTTGGCTGAAATCAAATCTGGGAGAAGAATATTCGTTTGACAGCTCGACAGAAAGATGACTTAAGACGGGACTATTAGCTGAATTTATCGTCTGCTCGGGAGGTTGTTTGCACTGAACTTTGTTTGATTACCCGGTGAAGTGATGATCAGACTATTAACAAATGACAGCTACAGCAATGAACCCTCATCTGTCTGTGGTTGGTAAAGAATCATAACAGCTAAACGCGATGCATAATGATATACCATAGAAATAATGAAGCTAACTAAACACAGGACTTCTATCTCTCCCTGACATCTTCTCTCGTAGCACAGATTAGCTCCATCAGTCACACAAACAAACCCAAAATGTCAGTTTCATGTTTCTTAACAGCTGAAATGAACATATGAGATGTCAGATTAACTCCAAAAGGAAATATATTGCAGTCCCATAAACAGATGCATTTGCATTCAGAGAAGTGGGCACAAATGCACAGTATAATTATAAACACACAGGGTTGCATACTCACAACAGGACGCTCCTCCACAAACACGATGCCACCTTCATCTCTATTGCATCTCCTCCTCTTCTTCTTCTTTTGTTTTTCCTCTCTGTCTTTCTCTGTGTCCCGCTGTCACGCTCACAATGTGAAGCTTATCTTTGTCCTCTCGGAGTAATAGCATTATAAGAAAACTGAAAATAGAGCAGTTGAGAATAGTGGTTTTTGAGGATGGACTGTGTCAGCCAACACAGTATTAGAAGATTACAGCTGTTTGTCAGCATCTGGCTGGATGTGATAAAAGAGATCAATGTGTGCTTCACTGAACGGTTGTGTGTATAGGTCTATAATTATGCACCAAAAGTTAAAGTACTGACTTTAACGGAAGATAGCTCAACTTTACAATTGGATGCTGCAGATTTTTCTGGAAATATTTTCTGCTCTCCAGCTGAGCTATTTTGGCTGCTATGAAATGTGAAGTGAAGTGCTGTGCATATATCATTAAACTGCCAGTTAGGAAAAGAAAACTTTCAGACACTGAATTATGCACTCCAAATTTAACTCAGTTCACACTTGCTCTTACACTAAAATACTTAAGTTGCCAGCTCCACAGCAACATTTTCCACCAAACCAGAATAAAAAATGCAAAATAATAATATTTGCTTTACTTAAGGCATGCCAAATACAAGGAATCCTCATATTAAGTTGCTTACTTGTTAGCGAAATACAGTGTTTGTACACAAAGAATACTGGCTGATATATCAGTCTGAATTTATTACTGACAAAGAAATCTATATCCGAGCTGGCATCTGCACTTGCCCCAAGATACCAGTGTTGGCTTGGCTCTACTTTACAGCCTGTAGCCTCTTTTAGGATATTACTTTAACTTCTTACACCAAACATGTTGTGTACCATATGGATGCACTCATCCAGATAAAACTGTAGACAGCTGCTGCCAATTCGGCAGAGTCAGGTCTGTAATAAGTTCAGAAAGCTGAAGTAGATGTGGTGAATAATGTAGAACTTATAGCAGTTAAAGCCCCACTTATTTTTCTTGGGAGCTTAGGGAGACCAAAGAGGGTGTTAAAGGGGTATTTCACCCAAAAATGCAACTTAGATTTTGTTTCTCTGACCCGTAATGCTATTTGCTATAATGTGAGTTGCTCCGTTTTGGAGATATTCACTCTATAAATGTCTGCATTGTCACAAATATAATGGCATTAAATGCCTATCAGCTCAAAAGGTCAAAGAAAAAGAGCAAAGACGATGCATGCAGACACAAAATGAACAGCAGTGTCTTTCCATAAATCCTGACCAGATTGCTCTAAATAATCTAAACTTGTGAGCAGTTTCTTATGACATGTATGACAGTATGATGACAGTAAGTTGTTTCTGAGCAAGACAGAGAATTTTAAATTAAATCATCACAAGATGTGAGTGAATTGCAGACTTTTTTTTTTTTTTACAAAAAAGTGTAATCAACTGTGCAGGAATTGCAGACATTTTCACACAGAGTCCCCTATTTTAAAGGGGATTTAGCAGTTGACTGATAAACTGGTAGGTTTAGGTGGATTTATTTCATGTTAAAGAGGTGCAAGTGTCATTGTCAAAGTCACTGCAGATTGTTTGCAGCAAGGCGATGGAGCATCTCAAGGGTCCATTGACTTTAGGCAGTCCTCGACTACAAACGAGTTTCATCCAAGTATTAAAATAAATCCTGAAATTTAAAATTGTGTTAGTTTGTCCAATAACTTTTTAGCCTCTTGATATAAGCCCCCTCCTCACTTAACCGGCAGTATTAGCCATATGTATACTTCTTTTTGTTGGGAGAAAAGAGTGAAAAAACTATGAAACACACCAAGGTTTTCGTAGTTGAATTACTGGGTCATGATTTCTGGAACGAGGCATAGCTGCTGAGTTTTCCTAATGTATTTGTGGGGCACTTTGACCAGCACAAGGCAAATGCCATCAGGTTCCGATATACTAAAGAGAAGACATCTCTACAGCCACTATCTACAAAACTTGGCAAGTCATACCAGGAGCAGTCTACAGTAGATCGATAAAGAGCACTACAGACCAGATGAAAAATATGGTAATTTGATTATGGGGTGAAATGTCTCTTTATAAGGGCACAAAATATCGACTGTATATTCATCAGATGACCAGAAACACAATCCCAAATTAGACTTTTTGTCTTTTTGCCAGTTCAGTGACAAAATGGAGTTCGTGCATCCTTACATCACACTGCAACATCAGAACAGCGAGTGAGTTGAATGAAGTAATACTGACTGGCTAAGTGTTTAATGTTTAATGCCTTTAGAAATAATCTAAACTTGAGGCAGGATTTTATCCTTTAGATAAGATAGTCCCACTGAGATTTGACTGAGAAGGCTCTATAAGTATTACTCTGGATGTATTTTACATTTTATCTGTGTTTCCACAGTGTGTTGTAGTTTACTTTTCAGCTGCGGAGGAAACTCCAACAGTGCTGTCCAATAAACATACAGTAGCTGGAGGGGTCGATTCATACAGTGTTGTGCTAAAAAAATTATAGAAAAAGAGTTCTCACTGACCTTCCTGGTTTGGGTTTTTTGCTGGAGTTTTACATTTTTGTATTATATCTGGATTCACTGTGTTTATGTAGCAGATAGCTCCTGGTTGATTATTTTCTCAGTTTGGTCTTTAGTCTTTTTTTGCTACCTTTTGCAATCTAGTTTCTGTTTGTGGTTTGAGTTTTAATTAGAATTATCAGACTCTTTACCTTATTGCTTCCTGTTTTATTTTGGTAGCTGTTTTCTTCTGTGTCTTGTTTCTATTTACTTCCCTTGTCTTGTGATCCTTGATTAGTGTCAGCTGTACTTGGTTCCCCACACGTTTCTACTTCCTTTATATTTAAACCCTAAGTTTACTTTTGTTCTTTGTTGTTATTCTGTCTAGTCAACTTGTACGTTTCCTGCTTGTTCCTGTTTGTGTGTTCCCCGTATTCCTTACTCCTTGTTTAGTTTTTTGTTAAGACATTTAATCAGCCTTAATAAATAGCTCACTTGTTTTCTGCATCTGGTTCCTCACACCTTTACTCTGTAAATCATGAGAGGTACTGTAAAAAGCCTCAAACTCAATAATTATAAATAATAATAATACTTAATAATAAAAATAATATTTAAAATTATACTCATAATATTTGGTATAATAGTATATAATAAATACTTGAAGAAACTTATGCAGAAAAAAGCAAATACAGCTGAGCCTGAAGGCTGGGTAGTGCTTCATTTGAAGGCTCACATCTCCTCCCACCATCCACCTTCACTTTTCAGGGCTGGCTTGTTTTAGAGCTTTTCACAGAGTAGGCTGAAGGCCCTGAAAAATCCCTGAAAACACATTTGGACAAGCTATTGAAAGACTATGGATTGTGGATATTGCAGCGTGTGCACATAGCTGAGGCTTTTTTTAAACCAAGTAACAAGTTTCTTCTTCAGCTTCTATTATGGAAGATCTTGTTTTTTAGCAAGACCTTGGACCCTGTCAGTCCAGCTAGTTGATCCACACTAAAATATATCATATTAACAGATGGAAATGCAAGTTTCCTGCTGGCATTGGTGATCCCCTGACCTTTCCTCTGGTTCCACCATGAGGTTGACATTTGTGGATTCGTGTGAATTGGCTCAAACACTGTTCAATCGATTGTCTTGACATTTGATCCACACATTTGGAGTACCCACAAGATGAATTGTAATAACTTGGGTTACTTCCTTATTTCATTTCGTGAAATCATAAGATCAAAAGTTTCATTTGTATTGTACTTTATGGTAATGCCAAACCTTTGTAAAGTTTATGTATAAATATTAAGCACTGGCTGCTAAACATCAGCATGTCAGGATGGTACTGATACCATTCAGCTCGAAACACAGCTGCATCTTAACCTCAGCTCTGCTCTCCCTTTCATGGCAGTTGCCATTTGCACAAACTTTAACAGCATCTTGCTGCATTCAGAGTACAAAGCAAGGGCACAATGCAGGAGCATCTCCACTTTCAGGATCAATATCACGCACTAGCAACAAGTGCTACAGATCATACATAAACCATAAAATAAAACCCCACCATTCATAGAAGAG